TTAGACACTAAAATGAACACTGAATATTTTGCATTTGGATCATGCTTTATAATTTGCAAATTAATTATGCGTATGTGTATAAGTTGCACATATTTGATTTTCACAACATAACTAATCGTTAGATCAATTAAGTAACTTAACTAACTTAATTTTAAGTAAAAATTACCCAACTTGTATAGATCAGGTTTTCTGATTTTGCTTTCAGCTTAATTCTACCTTTATAAACCACAAGCACAGGGACACAGGGACACAACTACCAAGTACATTAAATATAACCTCTAAATATCTGATCATTGAATATAGTTCTAATTTAAATAGCATTATTAAGTGCCAGGCCTTCAGATCTTAAATTTAAAATTTCTCCACTTAACTAAAAGACCCGACCACTTCATGGTTCTGAAAAATCGTTACATGCATAGAAGAAAAATTAATCCTGAGAAAAGAGCTGTAATTGCTTTAGTTCATTCATAGCAAAGTAGAAATTACAACTACACGTAAATTCAGTTACAGAATGGGGGAAGGGCGGAGCCCCAGGGCCAATTACCAGTTTTGTGCTATGCATATTTTTAATCAATGAAGTATTTTTCAAGCGCTAATGATACAGATCTAAAACAGCATATTAAGTGCTTTGTGTATGTAGCATAACCCTCTCTTGGTCAACCCTACCTTTTCCTGCACATCCAACCATAATTACATATACATATGTATACACACACACACACACACACACACACACACACACACACACACACACAGATGAAAACATACTTGGTGTTTCAAACGGAACATAATCTTACAGGAATTATTTCCAACACAATTTGGGAAATATTTTTCACATATCATAATCACTTCATGGTGTTAGCAGCTTAAGATAAGTAATGGACATTTAAAAACAAAACCTTTACAACTTTGTCTGGGGGATGATATAATCTGAAAAATTGATCTCTACATAAAATGCATTAGAACAAAAAATACATCTTTAAACAGTATTATTTGCAATCAATGTTTAGAATACTCTTGGGTGTTCTCTCATAAAATTTATATCCTAATGTAGAAATAGTTTGCCCATGTTCTTTAGAGATGTCTGTCATTTATAGAAAACTCTAAGTGCTTCTGTTGAGAAAACTATAAAAAGAAATGCGATGAGCAATTGTGATACATTTTCCTAAGTGAATATTTTCATATGAAAAGGTTTCAGAGTAAATGGAGAACACTATACTTTCGATTTCTGTTCTTTACATGAGTAACTATACACAAATACTGATTTATCACAAATCTTCCTAGCATGGTTTCCTTTTAGAGCTTAATGTTTCCTGCCTTCATTTGGTATGAAGAAAAATTGTAGGATTTTTTTTTCTCTGTTTGATGTTTGACGACATAGACGTTATTTTTAAAATGTGACTAAGAGGCCCCAAACTTGAGCAGCCTTCCTCCTCTCGTAGGTAACAGTTTAATTTGTCATGTTAGAAATAAACAAGCGCACCTGACAATGTGCCATATTTGACAAAGGAAAAAAAAATCTTCTCAAACACATTCATTCACTTAATTGTTCAAATACCTTTCTATTCTTTTTAAAGTAATCCATCCGGCGAGATTCCCTAAATATACTGAAGCCACTTATATAGGTCAGCTAATGTGGGTTATGCTTTTTTAAGCACCATCTGACTAAGCACTTTCTGCATTTTGCTAACCAAGTTACAGTACATCGTAATATTTTAATCAGCCGCAAAGAACAATAACAGATCTGACTACCGGGCTGATAATCGCCTTATCACACCCTGTGAAACCTAGCTCTAACATTTGACGGAGCCTCCATTGCTTGGCAGCCCATTCTAAAAAAAGGCCAACAATGGAGAGAGAATGAAGTGGCCTGTGCAGTACCTCCGTATCTACATAAAAGAGATTAGAGGCGACAGCGTTCCATTTTACAGCTCAATCATATTGTGTTAGCATGCGCTTATCCGAGCGCGGACGAAATTGAAAGAGAAATAAAAAAGAGTCAGGCAGATAGGAACCAGAAAAGCGAGGCATGAGCAATTTCCAAGGATATAAAAGGATGCTAATGGCGGGGCCCTGTCATTCTTAAAAAGGGCTATTAGGGCCCCATCATCTGTTCTTGTGCCCTCATGCTCTTCCAACTAAAGTCAAGCATTTTCCAAAGCCCTTGTGATCTTTTTTCTTCTATAGATAAAGTATGGTCATGTTTCGTAACAACACACTTTTCCATTTGTGTGATTTATTAAAAGAAGTCAACTAATTCTATTTACTGATAAAAAAAAAAAACGCCAAAACACTCCCTAGGTATTTTTCTTCAATATTTTCTTTTGTTGAATTTGTCACTTTTTTTACAGAGCAAAAGCAAGTATACACTAGTGTATTCTCCGCAGGGCAGAAAGGATATGGATCTTATTTTAGCTACTACACTTAATTTTTAAAAGGTGTGTGTGTGTTTGATTACACAAACCGAGAACAGCATAAAAGAGTAAAGGCTTGGATTTTACTATATTTAAAAAAGGATTTCACTTTACTTTTAACATAAGCGTAAAAAAAAAAGAAAAGAATTCTGAAGTTAAGGCTAAGATAGGTGAAATTTCAGTTCTGATTTGGCTTTAATTCCAGCTCTGACCCCAGTTATCAGGACTGGGTCATGTTATCAAGAACACGACTTGACTTTTATCAAGGCAGAAATGGGACTTTAATCTTTATATTCTCTTCGGATTCCCCACCTTCCCCATCCCACCCTCCACGCTGCTGCTGCACCCAGCTCCCTGCACCCCGGGGTATACACACCAGCACCCCAGTATCAGAGCATCCTCTCCATCTACCTCCAAACCCCGCACAGCACACTTACTGTTAGATACAATGTAAAGGAATTTCAGCTAATTCCTGTTTGGCTAATCCCCTTCTGAAAAGCCCAGACACTCCTTTGCCATCGTTTAAAACACCCTCCAGGGATCACCAAAGCCAGAGCTGTGACTCGTCACTCCACAGTGACCTCCTCTGGCATCTACTGTGGAGACAAAATAACGTCAGCCCCCCACCAATTCTAAGCCTCAGCGCAAGACCGAATAATCGTATAGCAATTGCTTCCACCACTGGAAATGCTGTTACTCATAGTTATTTAAAGTTACTGTCTTTGCAAAAGTCACCAGAGCCCCTTGACTGTGACAAGTTCCTTTGTAAGCTGACATTTCTACTTAGATACACAACGGGACCCGCAGATTTATCACGGACTTCTCACCAGAGAGCACCGGAAGGAGCTGTTGACTTTCATTGGTTGTTATCATGTCTGTACAATATCCAAATACGGGCTTAACCAATTTCTTAATTCAGGGAGAATGTGGGCAGAGTTCTCTGAAATAATGGGTGGTTTGGAGTCAGAGTGACATAGCCTTTCATGCTGTTGTTGTTAATAACAGTAACAATATCACTACTGTTTTGAAATAATTATTTCAGATGTAATCAACTGGGGGATTACAATATCCTGATCCTACTCCAGGAAGCAATGCTGATGATGCGTTTTGAAGGCTCTGGATCCACTTGTGAGCTTGTGCAAGTGTTTTTACCTCTCTCTGCCCCAGATCTCCCTATTTTTGAGTTCAGGATAATAATATTCCTAATTCCTGGGTTAGAATAATGGTTCTCAGTTGGGGATGGTGGGGGTGTGATTTTGCCCCACAAAAGGACATCTGGTATCTGAAGGCATTTTTGTTTGTCACAACTCAAGGGTGCTAGTGGATAGAAACCAAGGATGCTGTTAAATATCCTACAGGGAACAGGCCAGTCCCTGTATCTGAGGGTCATCTGGTCCCAAATAACAATTGTGTCAAGA